AACATGGAGAAAGATATATACACAGCTGAACATGTTGATGAAGAGCAGTGTGACGATAAAAGCGATGAGGAGGATTTTGAAGGTGTGAGGGTCATGAGCATGGACAAAGCACCAGAGGAGGATTACACAAGCTCCGATTCTGAACAGGACAGCTCGGCCTCTGGAGAAGATGAAGAGGATGAGGAAGAGGATACAGGAACAGGAGAGGAACCAGGGAATTTGCTGAGGTCAGTTTGCTACACAGACGAGTTTTACGAGGGTAATAAAGAGGACAGGATCTTTGCTGAGGGACAACCTCTGGCCCCGCAGGGTGCTGAAAACCCTCAAGTTAGAAACGAGGAGCAAGGTGAGAGCGATGAGGAGACGTCCTATTTTAAGAGAGTCCCTGAAGGTGGCGGTGAAAGGATGATGAGAGGTGACAGGAGTGAAGAGGACGAGCAAGAGAGGGAAGAAGAAAAGGAAGAGGACTTGTCTGATTCTGAGTGTGAGGGCATGAAAATCGAACAAGGAGAAAATGTTCTCGCTGGGCGCTTTGAGCTGGAGCTTGAGAACCCTTGCAGAGATGACCCAGTGAAAGCCAGTCTGGAGTTTCCAGAAATATCAGTGCAAAGTCTGCAGGATCTTATTGCTGAAGTTGACAGTGAGGAATGTGTAGAGAAAATGAAGGATTTCTCAGGGGACGAGCACCAGGACGCAGGTGAGAGCTTTGCAGAGTATCCCTCGGACTTCTCGTCATGTGAGTATGTAGAAGACAAAGGAGACAATCAAGAGAGCAATCACCAGTCGGACACCTCGGCTTGTGCATCCGACAGCGGCTCAGTTGCAAAGGACAATGCCTACCTAGAAAGAGAAAGAGCTGTGGCTGATGTAACATGGATGGGGGCACCTGAGGACACTGATGAGGAGGAAGATGGGTATCTGTACAGCAGAGACTTAGAGGCAGAATCTGATAAGTTCAGGAACCTGGATGTGGCAGCTACAGCAAAAGAGACTGTGGAGAATGTGTTGGGCGATGTAACTGGGTGTGGTGATGAAGGCGAGACAGATGAGAGTGACTCCTACACCTCCAGTGACGATGAGGTCCAAGAAAAGAGGAGTGACGAGGAACTCTCTGACAGTATGTATCTACAAGAAAGCAACAAGCAACTGGAGGAGACTGAGAGTGGGAGCGGGGCAGCATTTTCTGACGACTTCAACAGAGCAAATCCAGCAGATTTCAACATTAACTGGAATCTGGACGTGTTAACATCTGATACGATTCTATCTGAAGACCTGTTAACCACAGAGGACGCAGACGAAGCGGAAACACCACTTTCAGATCTGACTCAGCGTCCTGCAGAAGACATCAACAGCTACTCAGATCTAAGAACAACAAGCCCCTCAAACCAGGGATCCCTGGATGATAGCTTCTTCTTCAACACTGAACCGGAAGCCTCTGGGATCACCGAGCTGGGACAGCTGGGAGACGACGAGTACGAGGATGACAGGAACTGGGAGCAAGAGCAGGAGAGAATCAAGGCTTTCTACAAGTTCTATGATGACGATGATGGGGAGAATGAAAGAGAAGGTGAGTGAAGATGAGAAAGGTAAGCTTTTTATGGAACAACATTTTCAAACAATTCATCTGTTTTCATTTGTGGATTTTTACAGGGAGGCAGATTAAAGTTCAGTTTTGTGCAGATCCATTGTCTGAAGTCATTCACTATGAAACTGACAGGTGAGCAGGATTCTTAGTATGTGTTAAACTTCTTTGTCTTGAACAACAACATCCTGAGCTGCGACAGACCCAAACAAAAAACAACCATGTGCTTACTCGTTTCCCAGCAGTGACAGAGATTCACTCAGCAGTTCCACAGAGGGGGAGGAGGACCAGAGCTCTGCAGAAACATCTGAGGTTTGCATAGACACATATTAGCACACATGAAAATGCATACATATAAACACATATGCTAAATCTTTAACTGTTTTGGCTTTGTACAGGAACTGAGGGAGCCTGACGACACCCCACCAGTGACACCGGCTTGTGATCCCCCGAACACCAAAGAGCCACCAGAGAAAGTGCCAGATATTGACAACACACAGATTTGTACCAGGAAACACAAAGTGTGTACTCACCAGCCTTCACTGAATATTCACTTTGTTAATTTATTCCTGAATAGTTTGGTTACTTTAATCTCTTCGTCCTTTGTCCCTACAGTGTTTCAACATGCTGAAGCTGACATTGAAGATGGGTCTGGTGATACTGGCGGGACTCCTGATGTTCTGGTTGGCTACAGACCAAGCGGGCTGGTTCAGCTATGAGTTGTTCTTCTAGTGGGGAAAAAAATGTTGGTCCGTAATAGTAGTTGACATGCTTACAGGTTATAAAGGAAATATCCAAAATGACATGAAGAATATTGTCTTGTAAAAAATGCAATGTAAAGTGCAAACATTCAAACTTGTGTTCTGTTATCTGTAATATGCAATTTTGAGCTTAATAAATATATATCTTTGTATAAGATGATGCTGTATTTGTATGACCTGTAGATAAGTGGTGTTCCCATTTTTTTGTAATAGATTACATCAGAGTTAAACATGCCTAAATGTGTGGTAGACAGTAACTCAATACATTTACTCAAATACTTCACTGAAGTACAGTTTTTAGACACTTTGGGGGAAATGCTTTATTTTTTTAAAAAGTAGAACATTATGAAGATTTTTTTGTAGATTAAGTAGATTTTTTTTTTACAAAGTTTTTACATTTAAAAATTTACTTTTAATATACAACACATTGTTACAGATTAAACTACTCAACAGTAGCGCATGTGAAGTGGTTAACATTTGTTGTACTTTGCTATTTGTGAATTTATCAGTAATAATAATAATAATCTCAAAAATGACACTCTGAAAAGGGCCAATCTGCATAATGTGCAGTTTTATCTTTTATATTTTTTTCTGATAATACTGATACTTTAATCTGAAAGAGCAGTGTGCAGGATTTAGTGGCATCTAGCGGTGAGGAGTGAAGATTGCAACCAATGAAACTTCTCCCATGTGCCAAGTGTGAGCTCACAATTGGAATTCCTTCAGCATTCATTGCTCAGGAGTTTTTTAGAGGGAGCCAAATTATCCACAGAGATCTCCTCCTCCAAAACGAACAAATCCAGTGATTAAATCAGGTAAAAACACTGCACAAAGCTGTTTCACATTAAAAAAATCTGTGTTTTTCAAATGCTCCTATCGTGGACGGCAGGCAAGTTACAAAGGCTGACACGAAAATGAAAAAATGCAAATGGCCCTATCTAGAGCCAGTGTTTAGTGTGTCCCTTCTGGGCTACTGTAGAAACATGGCAGCGCAACATGGACTCCGCAGATGAGGACCTGCTCCCTATGTAGATATAAACCAAAGAGCATGGATACCAAGAGGCGAAGCTCAATAGAATGCCCCATAGCAATAGACTCGCCCATGGTTTCGTCCTACCGCCACCATTTTGGACTGTCAGCAGACCGCAGCAGACCCGCTTGCATACAAATACACACTGACAAACTGAAGTATATCGCTATTAATTATGCTTACAATGCTACTCACCTCGTGATAGCTTGGTCACAGCTGCTTTTTCACGTTTTTGTAAAGCAAAATATAGACTTTAAAAAAAAAAAAACGAAGAAAAACGGCCTAGATGGCATCTCTACATATTACATCCACTTATGAGAAGATTAACTTAATTACTCCTTCAAAATCACCCCATAAGCCAATCTACCA